TGAGAAGACAATCTACAAATCAGAAGAAGATACTTGCAAATCATATATATGAGAAGGGGTTAATATCCAAAATATATAAAAATTCTTACAACTCAAGAGCAAACTGTAAACAATCTAAGAAATAGGCAGAGGAACTGAATAGACATTTTTCCAAAGAAGACATCCAAATGGCTAACCAATACATGAAAAGGTACTCAACATCCCTAACCAATGGGAAATGCAAATCAAAACCACAATGAGATACCACTTCACACCTATTAAAATGGTTATCATCAAAAAGACTAGAGATTTGGGGCACCTGAGTGGCTCAGTCACAACCTACTCTTGGTTTTGGCTCAGATAATGATCTCATGGGTCATGGGATGGAGACCTACATCTGCATCAGGCTGCTGGCTCAGAGGAGATTCCCTCCCTTTACCCCTGCCCTGATCATGCACAACCACACACTCTCTCTCTAAAATAAATAAATATTTAATGAAAGAAAAAAAAAAGGCAAAAGATTTGCTAAGTGTTGGCCAGGAAGTAGAGTAAAACGTATCCTGGTGCACGGCTGGCAGGAACGTAAATTGGTGCAGCCATTATGTAAAGCAGAATGGAGGTTCTTCCAAAAATTAAAAACAGAGGGATGCCTGGGTGACTCAGTGGTTTAGTGCTTGCCTTCGGCCCGGGGCCATGATCCTGGAGTTCCAGGATCAAGTCCTGCATCAGGCTCCCTGCATAGAACCTGCTTCTCCCTCTGCCTGTGTCTCTGCCTCTCTCTCTCTCTGTATGTCTCATGAATAAACAAAATCTTAAAAAAAAAAAAATCCTACTGCCATATGATCCAGTAATTCCACTTTTCAGTACTTATCCAAAGATAACAAAACAATAACTTGAAAAGATATAGTACCTCCATGTTCACTGCGTAACTATTTATAATAGCCAATACAGGGATGCCTGGGTGGCTCAGTGGTTGAGCATCTGCCTTGGGCTCGGGGCGTGATCCTGAAGTTCTTGGATCAAGTCCCACATCGGGTTTCCTGCATGGAACCTGCTTCTCCCTCTGCCTATGTCTCTGCCTCTCTCTCTCTCTCTCTGTGTGTGTGTGTGTCTTTCATGAATAAATAAATAAAATCTTTTAAAAATACATATATATAATAGCCAATACATAGAAGCAACATAAATGTCCAACAATGGATGGACAAAGAAAATATGGTATGTGTGTGTGTGTATATATATATGTGTGTGTGTGTGTACACACACACACACACACACACAATATGGAATATTATTCAGCCATTAAAGTCACAAATCTTGCCATTTGTGACAACATAGATTAGCTCTGAAGGCATTATAAGTGAAATAAGACAAAGAAATTCAAATACTATATAATCTCACTTACATGTCTTAGACAGGGAGTCTAAAAAACCTAAACTCATATACACAAAGAATAGTGGTTACCAGGTGCTGAAGAGTGGGGGGGAAAGGGGAGATGTTCGTTATAGGGTGCAAACTTCCCAGTACAAGATTATAAGTTCTGGGGATCTAACGTACAATGTACTGATTATAGTTCATAATACTATACCACATACTTGAAACTTGCTAAGAGCATAGATCTTAAATGTTCTCACCACAAAAAAGAAATAGTAATTAGGCAATGTAATGGGAATGTTAGTTAACACTATGGTAGTAATCATTTTGCAATATGTAACTATCAAATTAATACACTATACATCTTAAATTTACACAATGTTATATGTCGATTATATATAAATAAAGCTTAGAGGTGTGAGGGCAGGGAGAGGACAGTTACCAGAAGAAAATTTTTATAGATTATTAGTGATAGTTGCACACATTTTGTAAATGTACTTAATGCCACTAAGCTTAATGGTTTACTTAATGGTTACAGTGGCAAAACTTTTTGTTACATATATTTTCCCACAATAAAAATAAGTAAATATGGGGAGTCTGGCTGGCTCAGTCAGTAGAGTATACAACTCTTGATCTCAGGGTCACGAGTTCAAGCCCCACAAAGGGAACAGAACTTACTTAAAAAAATAGGGATCCCTGGGTGGCACAGCGGTTTGGCACCTGCTTTTGGCCCAGGGCGTGATCCTGGAGACCCGGGATTGAATCCCACGTCGGGCTCCCGGTGCATGGAGCCTGCTTCTCCCTCTGCCTATGTCTCTGCCTCTCTCTCTCTCTCTCTCTCTCTGTATGACTATCATAAATAAATAAAAATTTAAAAAAATAATAATAATAAGGAGCACCTGGCTGGCTTAGTCAGAAAAGAGTGAAACTCTTGATCTTGGGGTTCTGAGTTCGAGCCACACATGGGGTACAAAAATTACTTAAATAAATAAAATTTTAAATAATAATAAGTAAATATTTTTTAAATACTTAGGAATTTTTTTTAAGATTTTATTTTAAATAGTCTCTACATAAAATGTGGTGCTCAAACCCATAACACCAAGATCTAGAGTCACATGCTATACCAATGGATCCAGCCAAATGCTCCAAAAATACTTTTTTTTTTTTTAGATTTTATTTATTTATTCATGAAAAACACAGAGAGAAAGGCAGAGACATAGGCAGAGGGAGAAGCAGGGACCTCAGGTTCCTGTGGGGAGCCTGATACAGGACTCAATCCCAGGACCCCAGGATCACAACCTGATCTAAAAGCAGACACTCAACCACTGACCAAGAATACATTTTTTTTTTAAATGCAAGACTTACATACAAAAACTACCAAACATCATTGAAAGAAATTAATGAATACTTAAAAAACTGGAAAGACATCCCATGTTCATGGACTGGTAGACTTAGTAAAATTAAGATGTCAGTACTCAGGGGCACCTGGGTGGCTCGGTTGGGTGTCCGACCCTTGGTCCTAAAATTCATATGAAAATGTAAAGGACCCAGAATAGTCAAAACAATTTTGAAAAAGAACAGGAAGGCCTGGGTGGCTCAACAGTTGAGCATCTGCCTTCTGGCTCAGGGTACAATCCTGGGGTCAAGGGATCAAATCCCATATCAGGCTACCCATGGGGAGCCTGCTTCTCCCTCTGCCTATGTCTCTGTGTCTCTCTCATGAATGGATGAATAAAATCGGAAGGAAGGAAGGGAGGGAGGGAGGGAGGGAGGGAGGGAGGGAGGGAGGGAGGAAGGAAGGAAGGGAGGAAAGAAAGAAAAGAAAGAAAGAAAGAAAGAAAGAAAGAAAGAAAGAAAGAAAGAAAGAAAGAAAGAAAGAAAGAAAAGAAAGAAAAGAAAGAAAGAAAGAGAAAGAAAGAAAGAAAGAAAGAAAGAAAAGAAAAGAAAAGAAAAGAAAGAAAAGAAAAGAAAAGAAAAAAAAGAAAAGAAAAGAAAAGAAAAGAAAAGAAAAGAAAAGAAAAGAAAAGAAAAGAAAAGAAAAAAGAAAAACAAATCAGGACTCACATTCTGGATTTCAAAACTTACTGCAAAGTTACAGCAACTAAGATTTTGTGGTACTTGCACAAAAAGATAGACACATAGACCAAAAGAATGGAATTGAAAAGTCCAGAAATAAACCCTCACATTTATGGCCAAATGATTTTTGACAAGGGTGCCAAGACCATTCAACAGAGAGAGAATGGTCTCTTCAAGAAAGTACTCAGAAAACTGGGATATTCACATGCAAAAGAATGAATCTGGACTTCTATTTCATACCATATACAAAGCGCAACTCAAAGCAGATCAATATAAGGACTAAATCTATAAAACATTTAGAAAAAAACGGATGTGAATCAATAATTAATAATAATAGCTCCTACTTATTTTTTTTATTTTTTAAAGATTTTATTTATTTATTCATGAGAGACACACAGAGAGAGAGGCAGAGACACAGGCAGAGGGAGAAGCAGGCTCCATGCAGGGAGCCTGATGTGGGGCTCGATCCCAGGACTCCAGGACCACGCCCTGGGCCGAAGGCAGGCACTAAACCGCTGAGCCATCCAGGGATCCCCTAGCTCCTACTTATTGAGCATCATCCACTTTATGCTGTTCACTCTATCAGGATTTTCAGATATATGTAATCTCACTCTTGAAAGTCCAAGGTGCCTGGGTGGCTCAGATGGTTAAGCATCTGCCTTTAGCTCAGGTCATGATCCCAGGGTCCTGGGATGAAGCCTCGCATCAGGCTCCATGCTCAATGGGGAGCCTGCTTCTCCCTCTCCTTCTGTCCCTCCCCCTTCACTTGTGTTCTCTCTCACTTATGCACTCTAATAAATAAAATCTTTAAAAAAAAAAAAGGGGGGGGATGCAGCCCACTTTACCCTTTCTCACCATATCTCTGTTTCCCATTCACCATTTAGAAGCCCTAAGCCTATCTTAAAACTATGGCTTAAATGAGTAAAAAACAGCTTCAAATACTTACTTCTAAATTTAAAGTCGTACCTATGAATATTCCTATATTATTTCTCCACTTTTTACAGTTTCTTATTCAGGTCATCAAAGTTGGACATGAAATAAAGAGTGAATGATAAGGTACAAATAATACATTAGTCTTTCATGTTTTATATCAAAATGCCATTTCAAACATAACAAAGTCTTACTATTGGAATCAATAAGTGTCATAGAGGATGAATGTATTTAAATTGCAAGGCTGGCTACTTTGAAATAATAACAGTCAACAAATAGCCTTCTCTATTTTGAAACTGTAAAATGGATGTTCTGAAGATGCCACAGCAGGAATTAAGTAGTGAAGTTTCCATGATTAGTTTGCATGAGTCAGCACTTTTCTAGGGAAAGGATCTACTGCTCTCCTCAGATGCTCCAACGGACAGAACATTAACAGATGTCCAATTAACATTTATTGAAAGAATAAATGAAGGGAGATCCACACAGGTAAGAGTCAGTAAACTCCCCAAAACTGCTTCCTTCCTTCCATTTTTCAACACCTTTACACTCTGGAATCATTCCTGAAGTGTCTTGAGCTTTCTGCTACAACTATCTGTAACTGTGTTTGTGAACAATTAAAATATTATACAATATATCAGTCTTACCAAGATTGGGGAATCCATCCTGAAGGGCCCATAATCGAGCCCAAGGGGCAGGGACAGGCTCTTCAGGTTCCTGGTCCTCAGGAATAGAACAGAGTTCCTGGGTGGACACTGTGTCTAAGGAGCTCAGGGTCCCCGAGCTGGAGTGAGACGACTGGCTAGATGTGGGTGCTGTGCTGGTGGAGCTGGATGTGCCCTGAGAGTGTGAGGAGGAGCCGTGTGTCTGCGAGGAGATGCCTTGAGACTGTGAGAAAGTGCCTTGGGACTGCGAACAAGCACCACTGCCATGGGACTGCTGACACTCCACATCCGTCTCCCGAGACATCACGACCTCAAAAATAAGTGTTCAATAATAAGGTAAGTTTCAAGGAACAAGACTTGAATTTCAAAAGTAAAGAATGGGCAGGGGCGCCTGGATGGGTCAGTTGGTTAAGCATCAACTCCTGATTTCAGCTCAAGTCATAATCTCAGGGTCATGAGATGAGCCCTGCAGCATGCGGGCTCTGGGCATGGAGCCTGCTTGGGATTCTCTCTCTCCCTCTCCCTCTGCCCCTCCACTCCCCCACCCCCATGCAAGAGCTATCTCTCTCTCTCTCAAAAAAAAAAAAAAAAAAGTGAAGGATGGGCATATTTACATCAGGAAAAAAAAATTCAGAGCAAGCATGTTCTGCAAAAGTTAAAATTCTAAGTCTAGATTGATCTATAGTTCTTCTGAGATGAGCTTTTCATTATATCACTTTCACCAGATCATTTTTCTGTTATGACAGCCACAAATCACAGGGAAAAGAAAGAAATTATTTGAAGTTTATAAATAAGTTAAAAGAAATGAACTAAATTAGGGGTGGAAGGAAGACTCATAACAGCTTATATTCATCTAATTTTTAAAAACTAGAAATGAAACCTAAAAGATATTCGTTAATACAATCAACACTACACTTAAATTTCATGTTTTGGAACAAGAAAGAAGGGGGAGGGCCATGTGGCTTGGGGGTAGAAGATAGCAAAGAGAAACTATAATTCACTGCACCTTGCCAGGGGTGACCATTTACATTAAATGTCAGATACCCCTCCTCCCCCAAGCCTGCCCCAGGACGATGAAGACCACATCCTGTTTGTTCACTCTAGATTCCCTGACTCCTAACTAAAGGCCAGCCTATTAATGAAGCACATCACAAAGAAGACTACTCTAAACAACTCCACCTAGCCCTTTGTGATGCTGAGTAACCATAAGGGCACACCTTTTCAGCATCCTAAATGGCCTTCCAGCCCTTAGGATTCTGTAGAATCCTACAGAAAAAAATTTGAGTCACAAGAGACCTTGACAGGTTCCCACCCTCACTTTAGAATTAATTTGATGGACTGTTAAATTCTGATAACAGAAACTACAGTAAAGTCAAAGTAACTGTCGACTGTCGATCCTTAACTTTAAATTTCTAATCTGATTTTTATAAAGGGGGGGGTGCATTGTCTCTTCTCTCCAGATACCCATACTCAGGCTATTCCTCCAAGGAGAACATAGTAGACATTACTCACATTGACTGCATTTATACAGCTTTCTAGATACAAAGATCCTGATGACTTTTTCTTAAACCACACCAGGAAGATGATGCCAGAGCTGAGTGGGCCACTCCAGGACCTCGTGGTTTAATACTACCTCAGTCAAGGCTGCAATCTTTCACAGCTTTTTGAGCAAAACTTCTCTGCCCTGAGAACTGGCAAAAGACTGTCAAGAAGTGGCTACTATCCTCGCTTACCTTAATGGTCCAGCAAACGAAAACCACACTAGCCTCAGCGATGAGGAGAAAGTATATAGAAAGATTAGAGACAAGTCTGGAGTCAGATGCCGGACTCAAAGCTCTGCATGATCTTCAGGTAGATCACAACTTCACTAGGTAGAGAGATCTTGAGGATTAAATGAGATGATATAGGAATGTTCTTCCTCCGGTACTGCTCGATAGTTGGGAGAATATAATTCCAGTCCCAAAGAATACGACAGCCGGAAAGGGGTTGATAAGGGCAACACATTTTTTTTTTCCGAATAGAGAAACTGAGTCCCAGGGTGGACTGGTGCCCTCCTACCCTTTCTTATCCCACACACTCACTTATGGACACTCGCAGGGCATCCTCCTACACAAGTCAGTGTGTCCCGGTTCCTGCAGCGCCCAGCTGCTAAGACTGAGTTTTCAATAGTTTTTTTTTTTTCGAAATTGAATCTAAAATATGGTAATAATTGCTACCATTTATATAACTCTTTACAAAGCAACGACTGGCTAGATCAAAATCAGTTACCCTCTGATTTTGAAGAACACAACTTCGTCCTTTCTCATCCTGCACGTCTGGGCCAGTTTCAGCTTGTAAGTAACAGGGGAAGTGAACTTCACTTCGAAGTTCATCTACAAAGGAAGACAGTCGCCCACACATTCCTCTCCTCACCCTAACCGAGCTCAAAAAACGCACAAAGTGGAAACTCGGGAGATTCAGCGTGGATTAAGACCCTGGGGACGGGACTCGAACCCCCCAACACCCAGGAGAAGTTCCCCACTACGACTCACCGCGTGAGCCCACCTAGAGCCAAACACTCACAGCAGCTGCATCCAAGCAGAGTGGCGCTAACCAAGCACCTACAAACTCCACCCTCAGCCAATCAAAACACCCCGCCTTCGCCGCCGGACCAATGAAGAGCAGCGGATGTGGCCGTCCACACGTAGCCTCAATGCTTGCTGGGAGTTGTAGTTTAAAATGAGGAGCGGGACACTCCGAGTCCAGGTTCCCCTCCTCCCGCCCCCACCGGGTGATCCCGCCCCGTCAGCTCCCCCAGCCAATCAGCAGCACTAGTCTGCTCAGCCGCTCTCCATCGCTCTCTCCCGGTTCCCCCCGCCCCCAGGTGCCCGCGGCGACCTAGGCCGCGGCCAGATGTGGGGCGGGAGGACCGGCGCCTTGCTCCGGGTGTGCGGGCTGTGGCAGGCAGGGGCCCTCGGAAGGAGACCGCTGAGCTGCGATGCTGCGTCTCTGGCGAGAAGCGGTTCCTCCCAGTGTTGGAACTGCGGCGGCCCCGGGGGCCCCACGCGGGGGGACGGGTTCTTCTGCCCACAGTGCCGCGCGCTGCAGCCGCCTGACCCCACTCGAGATTACTTCAGCCTCATGGACTGGTACGGGAGGCGGTTTCGGGAAACACGCGAACGAGAGAGGCGTGGGGCTGGCCTGCGAGGGGCTAGGGCCGAGAATGCCCGGGGAGGAGAGGGCGGGACCGGTTAGCCTGGTGGGCGGAGCCTAGAAAAGGGGGGTGGGGCCCGGGAGCGCCGAGGGTGGGATTGCGGCCGGTGCCAGAGGAAATTGAGGGGTGGGACTGAGCTTGGGGCCTCAGGAATGGAGACCCGAATGGCGGGAGGGGAGGGGGGGAGGCGTTTATGGGGGTCTGAAAGGTGCAGGCTTCGGTGGAGGGAGACCTGGGGGGGGGGGTGCCTGACGGAAGCGACCTGGAGGGGCTGGAGAAAGACTAGAGCGACTGGGCCAGAATGGTTAAAGTTGGGTTGAGATTTATAAGAAAGGGGTACTTAGGTGTTATCAAGAGAAGGGAGTAGGGGGGCCCCTGGGTGGCTCAGCGGTTGAGCATCTGCCTTTGGCTCAGGGCGTGATCCTGGGGTCCTGGGATCGAGTCCTACATCGGGCTCCCTGCAGGGAGCCTGCATCTCCCTCTGACTGTGTGTCTGCCCCTGTGTGTGTGTGTGTGTGTGTGTGTGTGTGTGTGTGTCTCATGAACAAATAAATAAGACCTTTAAAAAATAATAAGGGAGTAAAGGAGCCTCCAGGATTGTGGACACGCGGAGATGGGAGAGGAGTATGCCTGGGGAGGACTTCGAAGCTCCCAGCCAGCCGCTTTCCCCCATTCATGTTTTCCATCTGGTTGTTCTTGAGTTACTTCCTTTTATAATAAATCTAGTAAGAAAAACAAACAAAATAGGGTGTAAAAGGGATCCCTGGGTGGCGCAGCGGTTTGGCGCCTGCCTTTGGCCCAGGGCGCGATCCTGGAGACCCGGGATCGAATCCCACGTCGGGCTCCCGGTGCATGGAGCCTGCTTCTCCCTCTGCCTATGTCTCTGCGCCTCTCTCTCTCTCTCTCTCTCTGTGACTATCATAAATAAATAAAAAAAAAAAAACACAGGGTGTAAAAGCATCCGAAAACTTAATATTGTCGGCTGAGTCTAAGGGAGAAGTGAGACCCAGAGGGAGAGAGGCTGAGAAGTGGCTGTTTTCCTGTTACCCTCTGAAAGTCAAGGAGCTTGGAGAGGTGATGAAGTTTGAGCAGACCTAAGCTGTTAAGCCAGGGCAGGCTCCAGGAATGTAAAATGAAAGACAAAGAAGAAAGGACCTGGGCCTTGGAAAGATAGGGTGGGATTCAGGAATGGCCCTTCACCTTAACTCTGGTATCTGCCCCTACCAGTCACTGCACACTACAGTGACACTGTGCTTTAAGTTCTGCAAGCATACCAAATTCCTTCACACCTCAGGGCCTTTGCATATTCCCTCTGCCTCTAGATGACTTTTTCCTCTGGTCTTTATTTCTCATCATCATTCAGGTCTCAGCTCAAATGTCATCTCTTTGTCCTCCCCATCTACCACTTTCTCTGACCCTATTCTCTTTTCCCTCACAGCACTTTTTGAAAGTTATCTCTCTTTACATGTTTATTGTATTTTCCCCGGTGAGAATAGGAACCAGGCCCATAGTATACAAATCTGTAAGTATTTGTTGCATGGATTTTATCTCCCAATTTCCTTACAGTAACCGTGCCTTCAGAGTTGACACAGCAAAGCTCCAGACTCGGTACCAGCAACTACAGCGTCTTGTCCACCCTGATTTCTTCAGCCAGAGATCCCAGGTAGCCTGTTGGCCACCCCTTAATCATACCCAAACACTAGTGTACACAAGGTGGGTGGCAGTGGCCTTGTGGTGATGTGATTATCAGAGACAGAGCTAACAACCAGCTCCACCCTGGGGCAGCCTGACCCCAGGTAGCCACGCCCTAAACCTGCCTTGCACTCACAGCTTTTACCTGACTTCCCAGAAGAATCAGAACCCATCAGTTGAAAATAAAGACAGCTCATCCCACACCAGTTCTACTTGGGAGACTTCCTTAGTTGTCTGCTCTCAGTATTTTATGAAACAGTATGTGAATTTAATATGGCTGATTTAGATGGTAATGAGATTATCTTCATCTCTACTAACAGACTGAAAAGGACTTCTCAGAGAAGCATTCAACCTTGGTGAATGATGCCTATAAGACCCTTCTGGCTCCCCTGAGCAGGGGACTATATCTTGTAAGGTGATTTCCCAACCTGTGCGTGACTCCCTGGTATCCATTGTGCTGTGGGACAGCTGCTCCCCTTTATTCAGCAGAAGAGTGCTTGAGACCTGATCTAGTTTAGGGACCCAAAGATAATTAGCCTCAATAATACTACATGTGAATAGTTTTCTCTGAGTATTTGTAAATCTTACTTGCCAATTGCAATTTTTTTTTTTACCATTTTTTATAAATTCCAAAGATTGTATAGTGGTAGCATTTAGGGAAGAAGAATTTTGGGGTTTTTAAGGAGGGAGGAAAGAGTTTAGCTCCTTAGAATTTTAGGATTTTATAGAGCCTTTACAAATATCTAGTTGAGTCTCCCAAGTGGAGGATCAGCCCCCCAGGATCACACAGTTTCAGGTAGCAGAGAGGAATTCCATCTCAGCACTCTCTCAGTCTAACTTTCCCATACCCTTTGTTCACTCTTTCACTATATTTTGAAAGTTTTGTGAGGTTTTTTTATGAATGATATTCTGTTCTGTAAGTAGGATTTATGACTCTGGCCACAATCTTTTCAACCAATCTTACTTTTCTCTGCTTTATATCCCAATAGCTAAAGCTCCATGGAGTAGAGATTCCTGAAGGGACAGATTATAAAATGGACAGGCAGTTCCTCATGGAAATAATGGAAATCAATGAAAAACTTGCAGAAGCTCAAAGTGAAGCTGCCATGAAAGAGATTGAATCTATTGTCAGAGGTAAAAGATAAAATACCACTGAATGCATTTTATTGCTGTTACAAGTACATGTTCAAGGTTGGGTGAAAAATTAATATAAAGACTACATATTGGTCATCATAATGATTCAGGGAGTATTTTTTTTTCTTGATTATACTGAAACGAATTTTATCTGGAGGTTAGACTCACAACACCCCTTTCCGGAAGGCAGCCTTAAACCAAGAACATAATAATATTTTGCAGATTGCAATCCTCCTTCCTACCCATGACATCATTTAGATGTTATTATTGTCTCTGATAAGAATAAATAGGCCATAGAAGCTCATGAAAATGCCCAAGGTCACATTGCAGAGCAAAGATGGAAAAACTGACTTCTGATTACATATTGCCTTGCTTTCCACTTTATTTAATACTGTGTCAGTCAGAGTTATCTAGAGAAGGAGAACCAATAGTATATATGTATATATGGAGATAGAGAAATCTGTTTTAAGGAATTGGCTCATAGAATTGTGAGGCCTAACAACTCCAAAATATGTAGGGCAGACCAGCAGGCTGGAAAGTCAAGCAGGACTTCTATGCCCACATTATCAAAGCTAATCTTGACCTAAAGTCAACTGGTTGTAAATGTCAATCACATATACAAAATACCTTCACAGCAATATCTAGGCTAGTGTTTGACCAAACAACAGGCACCATAGCCCAACCAACATGACATATAAAATTAACCATGCCATGTAGAAAAAGTTCCAAGTTCTCTCTCCAATTGTATGTACGTATGTACTTTCACAAATATTTGTGGCATGCCTACTGTGTATCGAGCATTGCGTAAGACACAGTAAACAAGAAAGACATGGCCCATGTCTTCATGGAGTTTATATAGTTCAACTCAATGTGTCCAAAATGGAATTCATGAGCCTCTCCCATCCCTCCTAAAAAAATAACCTATTCCTCTGCCGATGTTCTCTAAATGCACAAGTCCAAAACACTGTGGAGGCATTCTTAATAATTTATCCTCCCTTACCCCATAAACAGTCCTCCCCAAATCTTGAAACGCTGGCCTTCTAAATGTGTCCCAAATCTGTTTCCACTGCCAGCACCCTGTTCCCAGCTGCCATTTTTTCTTACCTGGACAGCTGCAATAGCTCCAGACTGACCTAGCTGTGCCTTCAATCTAATACATTCCTACACTATTTAATCAATTCCTACACTATCAATCTAATCTAACATATTCCTACACTATCACTTATGTGATGTTTTGAAACCTAAATCTAATCATATTACCATTGCTCTTGCTTTAAAACTTGAAGTGGTTTCCCACTACTCTTGGGTTAAAGACCAAAGTCATTAGTATGGCTTACAAGGCCCTATATGATCTGACCTCTGCTTCTTCCCATTTGCCCCTCCACTGTCCCACACAGGCTATTTTTAGTTCTTCATCTGTACCAAGAACCTTTCTACCGCAGGGCCTTTACACATGATGTTCTTCTGCTTAAAACCCTCTTCTCTTCCTCTTCCTCTAGTTAACTCTGCCTCTTCCAGATCTGGGAGCAATCATCACTTCCTCAGAGAATCCTCAGAGAACCTCTTTATCTGTACCTTT